CTGAAGTTTTGGCGCATGTTGGTTATGTGTAATTTTTCCTTTTTAATTGGTCAATTTTAACGTCAACTCTCTTTTGTGGTAATATCCTAACATATTTTGTTATTTTTGATTCAGGAGAGATATTTACAACCTGAAATCTTGGTGGATGTTGATCATGTATAATCTTTCTTTTTCAATTGGTTCTGTTTAATGATAATCTCACCTTTCTAAAGACTGTGCATGGGTATTTATATGGAATAGTGTAGTTTGCAGATTTATATATTCAGATGTTTGTTACAAAGGCAAATTAGGAGAATAAAAAATGAGTTTATCTTACTGATGACAGAGAACGTAAGTTAGAGGGAGAAAAAGAAGAAAATAAGGAAGAGAAACAAAAGGGAAAAAAGAAAAGAAAAAATTCGTACATTTCTTTCTTCTTTTGTAGTGTGTCAAAAAAATTGGATTTGTGTCTTCCATCTGCTTTTTCATGCTTTTAATTTCCTCCCTCTTTCTTATTCTTTTTCTTTTTTTTTGGTTTATCATAAATACAAGAAATTTTGAAAAATACCTATATAGAAACTGCATGAATATTTATATGGAATAGTGTAATTTGCACAATTATTTATATGTTTGTTACAAAAATAAATTAGGAGAATAAAAAAAGAGTTTATCTTAGTGATAGAGGAAAACATAACTTAGAGGGAGAAAAAGAAGAAAAGAAGGAAAGAGAAATAAAAGGGAAAAATGAAAGAAAAGAATTGTACATTTCTTTCTTCTTTTTACGTAGTGTGTCAAAAAAATTGGATTTGTAACTTCTTCTCCGTTTTCATGTTTTTTAATTTTCTTCCTTTATCTTATTCTTTTTTTTTTTGTTTTTGGTTTATCATAAACTACAAAAAACTTTATAAAGTACCAATATAGTGGGTGTGTGTATATGTATGTACTGTAATTTTCTCAAATTATAGAATTAAAATTATAAAGGACTTTTTTATATTTATTAATTTATTTTGTGACCGCGCGAAGCGCGGCAAATTCACTAGTTGTTAATATATGTCTAATTTATCGATATGTGTTTTTGTAAATTCAAAAGGCTGAAACTTGATTTGGTTTATTTTATATTATTCAGCTTAAATCTCTTTTAATGATAGGATTAAAAAAGAAGGTTAAAATATGTGCTACAAGATACTCATCAACATCGTGTCTTCTTTTCCCATTAAAGCGAAAAGTATTCCATTGATCCTTTTAATTATTTTTATCAATTCTTTATCTTAATAAAACATGATTAATTTTTAATTTTAGACATAAAATTTTATCGAACAGGAAAAAAGGGTTAAAATCTGTGCTACAAGATACCTGCCAGCATCATATCTTCTCTTCCTATAAAAGTAAAAAGCATTCCATTGATCTCTTTTAATTACCTTTATCAATTCCTTATCTTGATAAAATATGTTTATTTTTTAATTTTAGACAATAAAAGCTTATCAATCATAAATTACTTGAGAAATCTGAAATAAGTCTAATAATGACGACAAAAACGATCAATACTTTGTAGGTTGTGATACCAATTAATATAATTAGTTCAAAATGGTAATGTCCAAGAGAATTTTGACAAATATCAACTTTGTGTAACTTAAACCGAATTTTTTTTTAGACTTAAATTATTTATAATTTATCCTTAAATACAAGTCAACTAATGTTTCGAGAATAGTTTTAGATAATAAAATTTTATCAAACAAAAACTACTTGAGAAAAAGTCAGTAACAAAGAATAAAAAATAGATCAATACTTCGTTCCTTGTCATACAAATTAGCATAATCCAAAACTCAAGGTTAAAAGGAATAGACCAAAACCGATAAAGTTTCAAAAGAATCTTATCCAAAATCAACTTTGTAGGATAGCGTATGTGTAGTTTAAATCGAAAAAGAACGGAAAATGGGAATGAGCAACTCCAATCAGCTTTTTTGAAGATGTCTGTTGCGGATGTTTCCTATGATTTACGGGCGAGAGAAGAGAGCATCACATCAATATCAATAGAAAGAGGTGCTTCTAACTAATTCTGTCTGAGATTCTAGTATTAGATGATTTACAATTATATACTTAAATTATACAAATATTTAAGGTCATAAAAGTCGATTAATATTTTGANTATATATATAAACCAGGCTGGTTTGTGCTATGAATATTGGAAAACTGCTTTACATGAGTGATGAGCCCATGTTCTAAATTGTCTACTCGAAATTAGGTTACTCCTACGCATCTGCTAGATATTGTGGATGATGATTCATTCGT